AATTAAGAAGTGAGTAATCTTCACAGTAAGAAATAAAAGCATAAGGGACATCTGTGTGACATGAAGTAAACTACCTGCCTGGCCATCAGTGTGATCCATTAGGAGCAGGGCAGGGTACTGGAAAAGCCAGGCCACACCAGGCAGAAGAGTGGAGATGGCTTTGTCTGGTTGTGCTTGCTGTACCATTCTGCTTGCGGTACCAACCACCAGCCTTACATGATGCCTGCAAGTGGTGCACAGGGAATTTTGCTGCTCTCAAATAACCTTTTGTTTCTTCCTTCCTTTCTTTCCTTATTGGTTTTTATTTTCCTCCAACCAATTTCCATCTTGAATTTTTGCTGTCTTCTCTATTCTCCATCTCATTCTTCTTTCTTCACTACATTCCATCCTCTTCCCATGACTCTTGACACCATCAGCCTGCCTGCAACCTAGGTCAGCTCTTAGTGGCTCTGGAGCAAGCTCAGTAGTATGAACAAGAATGGGCAGAATCCTGCCAGCACCAAGCCCTGGATCTGCACTGGTGAGCAGCAGAAGAAAGCAACAGGCTCATCCAGTATACCTCCCCAGAGTCTAACCACGTACCCAGGTTTAGCATTTGAAGTCTGTTGAAGTCTACAGTCTGTGCTATCTCAACTTCTTCTTCAGCCCCTCTGAGGGAGATGTCAAAGACGCAAGTCTTCCTCTGTTGTTGCTGAGTAACATTAGACATCCAACTTTGAAAAGATACCCAACTTTTAGATGACTAGATCTTCATAAAAGAACTCCACTTCTAGGGCACAGGAATTAATGGAATATAAATAATTAAGATGGATAGATCATAAATTATTTACCCTATGAGAACTCAAGATCTATCAGCTCTTTCCACCAAGAATCTTAGAGCATTTTATCAATTTAGCACAATAATCACTTATTATCATGCCCTTCTACTACAGGTGCCTGAATCACTTCCTGATATTATGAGTTAATGGGGCTAGTCCTGTGCTAAGTAGGTACAGAATTCTATTTGGTACACAAATCCCACAGACAGGTAATTGAACATGTAATGGCCCAAACCCTCGACAGAGCTTTTCAGCATCCACTGAGTTTGGGGCACACCAGTCCCATAGCTCAGCAACACAGGGCATGCAGAAATAAAGGGCTTTACCTTTCCCTGCAGAGCTGAGCACTGGAGTCCAGAGCCTGGGAGAGTGTGGTGGGTGTTTTGAAGCGCAGGTAACACTGCCATCTATAATTGTGATTCAGTATTCATTATGTTCCAGGAAGAGTTGTGGCTGCACCTGGTTACTACAATAGAAATTCGATTATTTCTAGAAACACTCCAACTAGTTGTATGGAACCAAGAGGGATTGGGAAATGTGTCTGGCTGGCTGAGAACACATAGAAAGGCAAACTTGTATTCCTGATCAATTAGGAGTGAGGCACATCTAGACATGCTCTAAAGAGCATCTCAAGGGGGGAAAAATGTAAAACAGCAACTATTAAAAATTCTCTAAGAATCACAGCCAGTGATTTGTCTGTTTGGTTTGTTGGTTTGTGGTGTTGTTTTGGATATAGGTACCTACATCCTCCCTAAATCCTAGAGCTACTCCATCAGAACTGGTCATTGGCCCGTAATGTATTTTGTCCTGACAGCTGTGTAGAAATTTTATCAAATATGTATCAGATTTGGGATGCTAAACCCACTTGCGTGAGTTTCTCCTCTCAGCACAGAGTGACTGAACTGAGATGCATCATCTCTCTAACAACAGTATTTCCCAGCAAGATAAAATAATCATGACATCAAGGCAAGCCTGAAACAGCGTGAGATTCGAGCCTGATGTCCTAGTTTTGTCTGCCAAGCAACATCCCTTCCTTTTACAGCCCCTCTTCTGCTGGTGCATAGGAGGCTGTCTTTTACCAGTAACAGTTTTTGCAGACATGGGACAACTTCTGTTTCAGGCCCAAAGCCACAGTGAAGAGCTAATCTTTCTGCTGGCATGCATAATACATCATCTGTCAAGAGTGCATTCCTAAGGACTGAGTTGTTAGTGGTATAGTGGACTGAATGATCTGTAAGAGTCCCTTCCAACTCAAATCGTTCTCTGATTTTTACTGTAAGCATTATAGAGGAAAATGCATGTAGAGGCTGTAATAATAGTATGAACAGGGACAGCGTATATGGTATAGAGGATGGGAAGATGGGAACAAGACCATTAACAAGAGGGGACTGTTTTTTATTCAGAACAGATCATTCGTATGAATGATCATGGTTGCTTCATCTGTGAGACTGAAAGAGCAATGCAGGTTTTTTAGTGTGAACTTTCTCGGGCCCTCTTTTTAAACAATTACAGTCTTGTAGAATCATCATGCCTCGTATATGTTAAGATACATTAAAAGTGCAGAATGACAATGCAGTTTGAAGTGAAGAGTAGATCAGGCTATTAATTGGCAGCTCCAGAACAAGGGATAGAGAAGTGACAGACAATGCGGCATTGCTGTCCTGGGGTTAAATGAGACACAAGAGAGGATGTTCTCCTGATGAGTGTGACGATTAAGGGAAATAAAAACAAAATAAAGGTTTGTCAGCGCTTATTTTCACCAAACTGGTTCTCTTCCTTGCTTCTTTGAGTACAAGAGCCAGCATATTCAATTATGTGCTTACATCTAAACAGTAAGTGTGGTCCGTGTTTGATTTTGGTAGAGTTCAGGAACTGACAGAAGTCAGATCTCCACAACATGTGTCTGTGTGTGAGCATGTGTTTCTGTGCATCTGTATTCTACTAGCAAGGAAAAATCCTCATTAATTACTGCAGGCGGGCTTGTGAGCAGGGATCTGCAGGCAATGGGGAGATTAGCTTGGAGGCAGCTCCTCGCTCTGACAATAGCATTCCCTCTGGAACAAGCTCTTAAGCACAAGCTATTTAAAAAAGACAAAAGACAGATGCCTCATTTATGTCAAGAAATTTTGTATTTAAACTACATTTTCAAATGAAATGTGCCCTCAAGGAATCTCACTAGTGATGTCAGACGCTCATTTGCCTTGCTTACGCAGAGGTCATGGAAATGTTGGAGATCAAGCCAAAGCAATGAGAAGCCTACTCCTCTGTACTGCTGTAATTACAGCACAAAAAGCGTGTAATTACCACACAGAGAGCATTAGCCATTTGCCTCCTTTCTGTAAAGCGCTGCTTTACGGTTCTCCTCATATGGAGTTGTGAGCAGTGAATTTCCATGAGCCAGCGGTGACCTACATTGAAGGCAGCAGCCTTGCTGCCAGCACTCAGCACATGCAGGAGCATGCCCTGGCTGCTTTCCAGGTCAACTTCGAGATTTGCAGAGTTTCATTTCCTGGCCCATCCTCATCAGGTTTGTCATGGACCATCTTCACAGTGGAGCATTTGCATGGGAAGGTCACCACAAAAAGCAGGGTTGGAATGAATGTGGGATGCTTGCACTCTTGCCTGACGGAAGTTATAAAAATACAGCCAACCACAAACACAAATTAATAAGTGCTGAAGAAATTAGCAGCCTGATTGTAAGAATCAAGGCTGTGATTCAGTCACAACATGATTCTTCCAAGCTTTGTCAAACTATTCCCATTAAAGGAGCCATAGAATTAAGTTTGCCATTGATACTTCATCCTGCTCTATACCTTCACTTACAGTTTAAGCTATCCAATCTGCGAAGCAGAATAAGAATTATGAACAGCCAAACATAAGCATAATCACAAACCTTGGTGTCAACAAAATGACAGCATTTAAGCTGAATGCATGACTAATTTATTAATGTATTACTTTAGCTCAACAACACTAGCAACCTGGCTGTGAACTTCCTATTTCTGGTTTGAATTTTGTTCTGCAAATGAAGCAGCTGCTCAGATGGCTGCAGAAAGTCATGGTTGGGTTGAACTGTATGAATCATCAACATTTTTCAGAAGGAAGCTCTGCTGTAGGTGTGGCTATCCCAGTAGTGTGGTGGTGGGAGACTAAGTGGCTCAAAACCAAAGCAGAAATTAGAGAAATGAGCCAAAACTACTCAGAAGTAAACATTTCTTGAGAAATTCAGACCGACTGTTCCCTTGGATTCACACAGCATAACTTGACAAACACTTCAGAGTAAGTGGCACTGATCATCTCACTGGCAGCTTCCACAGCTATGAGAGTAACTGAGCATCAGAGCATGTGGCTGGGCTCTACCATTCCGAGTAACCTCTGCCTAACACAAAAATCCTCATGAGCCAGGGGAAAACATTCCTGTCCACTCTGCTCTGCATAATTCATAACCACACAAACCAAAAGAGGAACATAATAAATAGAGCAACCCAAATTATTAAAAAAAAAAGTCCCCCAAAACATACAGCACAAGGACTGCAACTTTCTGCAACTTTGGCAAACCAACAGTAATTTTTTCTTGACTGGTAAATGAATTGGGAAGATACAGCAACAAGCCTTCAAGGTTTTGATAAGGCTAGCTCAGAGTTCAAATCTTGTTTTGGGAGTTTGCTTCGGGTATCTGCCAGCCACTGGAAATGCTGAAGCAACTGAATCAGAATGATGAATGATCATGACTGCATAAGGATCCCCTTTGCATCTTTGTTCAACTACCAGAAAGCTACTGATAGTGGGGAAGTAGCAGTCTCTGGTTTTTGGTTTTTGTTGATGTTATTTCAGCATAAAATGGATAAAGAAAGATATCAATACCAGCAGTGTAGAAGCTTTGAGATTTTACATATTTTAACGTTTGGCTATTTCCCTTAACCAGAGGGGGATTACCCACCTTATTTTTCAGTCATCTCTCTTTCCAGAGGGCCCCATTTAGTCCTGCTCTGTCTGACCTAGGAGAGCAGACTGGGGCAGTTTTGGTGGCTGAAGTGCAGAGGTATCCCTAAGCAGCAGCTGGGGAATCACAGCACTGCCTGAGAGCAGTATGGCAGAGCAGCACTGGCCAGTTCATGGCTGGATTGCTGCTAAGTGTCTCACCCAACATCCTATCTTTCATTTCCATTTCTGCTTTCAGAGCTTCTGCACACCACTGTGCCTTACTTATTTCTGCCTTGATCTGTCTGCTTCTCCTTTCTTTCCCTCATATCTTGCCTCCACTTGTTTTCTCTTCTTCTTCTCATACTGCTCTTCTTAAAAAATGGCTGCTTTGGCTTTCCACCACCACCTTCTCGAGCAGTGAGCAAGACCACGAGCTCAACCACTACAACAAACCTGGTGGGTGAATTTTATCCCTGAACTTTTTTTTCTTGTTGCTATGCTACAGACAAGGCCATTTTTGGGCATGAGGCTTTCTAGCTGTAAAGCTTTCTAGCTGTACTCCACCTGGAGAAATGTGAAAACCGAAGCTATGCCATTCCAGTACTTGCTGCTAGGTCCAAAGCTAACACTGTGCTAAGCCAGGGTTTTAATGTGTGAAAACAAACACAAATGTAGAGCTATGCTGTCCAGCCAAGAATTCAGTACTCTTGTTTTTTCATGAAGAAGCATGGGAAACTGAAGCACACTGCCACAAGGCACAGCATGAAGCAAGATAAAGACAAATGAACAGTACTGGGCTTCTTCTCTACATAATTTGCCTGGGAAAAGCACCTAAAGCAAATTAGAGTGCTAAGAGGTGTTTAGAGGGATACAAACATAAAACAAATTTTAGTTAAAAAGAAGAAGAAACCAATACTTTGAAACTTAGTCATAGTCATTTCCTCTGTAGTGAAAATTGTGTTTGCTTAGATTCCATTTCTCCTGTTGATAGAGTAAAAGCTTTTCTGAAAGATACAAGGTGCACTTGTGTACCCTCTCACCATTCAAACCACTAAATGCTTCTCTTTCTAAAGCTGCAGAACTCAGAATTGAATCATCAGCCATAGCTGTAAGCCAACACATTACATGTCAGTATAAGCAGAGCCTGGTGTCCCCAAACCTCTATCCTTTCCATTCAGTCTGCTGGAAACTTTCCAAGATAATTGAGGCAACAAAAATGCGATCCTGGTGCTCGCATCCCTGCTTGCATCATGTTTGGATAAAATAAAAGAAATTGCGAAACTGAGAGCAGACATTAAATATTATTAATAAATATAGACCACACCTGGGAATCAAGTGTAATATCATTTGGGAAATTTCACAGCACTAACTTTTCATTTCATCTATTTTGAGTTCTTACAAGAAAAGAAAAATAATCTTGTCACTGTCTTAATTTCTTCTATGTTAATGCTATTTTCAGTCAAGCCCAAAAGCCTGGCACGAGTACTAAGGGGCTATGAGATAGACCAGCAATGGGTATGTTGTGAATTCCCTTTTTATTAATCAGTGTGAATGTGTTGTACAAGATGAAATAAACAAAGAGACAGGTGTGGGCGAAACTGCAGGGTGCAGATCACTGATGCTGGAAGGGGGATTCACTCTTCCCACATTCCTCCCCTCTCTTGTGCCAGTGGAAGCACTTCTCTGACTGCAGGGTGGTGAGCTAACCCCTTCTTTTCATAGGGTAAGCTTTCATCTGCTTTGCTCCATGAGGAAACAAGTCTCTTAGAGCTGGGCACAGGGGAGGGAGGAGGAAAACTTCTACTTTCAGCACTGACACTTTTGGACCAGGTCAGCCAAGCTGCAAAACTACTCATTTCAGCAAAGGCCTTCCCCCTGTGAGCATCCTCTCTTCTTGGGTCTACCAGGGATGTGTTACAGGCAGAATCTGTAAACATTTCTCAGTTTCAAGTGTCCTCATAAAGTCAGTGACTGTTGTTTGGTTAAAGAACTGCATTCTATGCTTGTTCAGAAAACTGTGCTGAGAACCGAGGGAAAAGTGTCTTTTTCACCTCTTTCATGACTACTTCCTTCTGTGCAACACACTAATCTGACTCAAAAACAATGATAATGATTTAATTGCCTATAAAACACTTCATACACTGACTATAAAAAAATAAAAAAAATCATACCCTTCTTGTGCTTCCTGGATTATATGGCCCAAGTCTTAGTCTCATAAACAGAGAGGGACATATGGTACTGGGAACAGTACAGTTCCCAGTGACTCAAGCAGCAAGGATATGTGTGGGAGAACAACTATGTAAGGGTTTGCCACTAACACTGCTTGCTTGGGTCCTGCTTCTCAGACATAAGTGTAGTTCTGCATGTCCCATACTGACACATACAGTACCGGGTGTGCAAAGCCATTCCTGTTGTGTGAGGAAACAGAAAACTTTGCTGAGACATAAGATTCATACCACATGTAAAGCTTGAATTTTTTGCAATATCTGTAATAAACTAGTTTTACAAATGAATTCCCAGGATGCTTTGCAGGCTACAAATATCAAATAATATTGTCTAGAGTGGTTTGGAAGATTTCAGAAAAGGAAGCACAGTTCCCAGGGGTTTAAGAATGGCTATTGTACACAAGAAGCCTGACAAGTATATGTGGGTAGGAAGGAAAATCACCCCGTTCATGATGCAAAATCATGGTCAATGAGAGCAGGATAATAGCTAGGATGCGAGAAGAGGGTGATGTTGCAAAGAAGATAGTGAGACAGCAGGAGCTGCAGTCAATATAAATCTTGCTATGGAGTACAGTGTTTCTAGTAACAGTTTGGTGTGCAGGTCTTTGAAGGCTCCCTTAAAGTACCTTCTTGCTCTTTTTCCAACAAAAACCTAACACAACAGGGAAGTAATACCTTCATCTTCCTATACTGATCACCATTTCCTCATTTGCTTTTTTACATATCCACCTCCATCCACGTCCATCTTCTGCACAGTTTCTGCTTAGTGGGACCTGGAAAAGCCTTTTGTAAACTCTCTGGTTGGAGCCACGTGTAACAGAAACCACAGATGATGTTGCTGGGCACTGCATCCTTTAAATTTGTAACAAGCAGAAATATGAAAACTAACATCAAGTAACATTTGACCTGGTCTGTTTCCATTGTTTCTTGATTGATGAGTTGCAAGGAGTGTTGCCTCAGCTCTTCTCATTCTGTACAATTTTCTCAGGCTATGGTAGAGAAGTGCCCCAAATGCATCTGAAAAGTGTAGAGGGCAGTCTGCAAGTGTAGTCATTTATTAGCATTTATTCAGGATTTACTGAGTACACTCTTTAGATTTCTCTCGTGATAATCAAATAATGAGGGCAGACAGAAATAAGAAGGTGGGAAGGCACTTCAGGGAAAGAGTTCCAGCTGTTAGCCCTGCTTTCCCAGTCCCAGCCTGTAGAGTCCATTTCTTCCTTGACCCTATTTCCAGCAGCCCTGGCTTCTGCCTCTGGAGCTCAGCCAATGACAATATTTTGGTCCTGTGTGTGAACAGACAAGACATGAAGATATGACATTCCATAAAGAGAATGCCACCAGTTATGGAATGTGAAATCTAAGTTTCTCCTCCTTAGATACATTGGCATCAGTGCCTGCACCATGTTTGGAGTTGATGCACCTGGAGCCCTGTACCCCTGTGTGATGCTATTCTGAACTGCTGATGTGTTGGTGGGGAGAGAAGTGGAGGGGGACAATCCAGGATAGGCAAGAGCTTTAAAGTTAGCTAAATATAACTTTAAAGTTAGATTTGGACATTACAGTGCTGGATCAGCTCCCATTTACATGTCTGCAGTCTGCTTGAGGAAAGCACCAAAACTAAGCAGTATCAGTCTGTTCTCTGGGCTGGGTTTATAACTGGAAATGACTGTAAACCTGACATGGTTTGCTATACTTTCAGAAGCATTTCTGTCTTCTTGTTAGTTATTTAAATGCCCATTTTTGGGGTTAATCACTCCTCCCTGAAAACAAAGCAGCTTTACCAGTTCTTGGCATCTGAGCAGCATCCCTTCCTCTACTGTGATGGGTGATCTACACTACTTTGCAGCCAGCAAAAATCAAAAGCCTGAGACAAAGCAATGACAGCAGTCTCCCAGGCTAACCCTGCCCATGAACTCACAGCTGGCCACTGGCTCGCCTATGGAACGGGAGGAGTGATGGGGTTTTCTCCCAGAGGGTGGCCTGATGCCTGGAGCGTCTCAGAGGATGTTTCTCCTGAAGAGACATGGAGTAGGTCTGGGAAGAGGGTGATGGCTGTCCCCAGGGAGCTCAGTGAGACTTGCAGGGCAGTGCTGGGTGGGCACTGGTCTTGGTTGGCATTGCCTCTTCTGGGGAGTGAACAGCCAGCACTGCTGAGCAGACATGCCCAACTCTGCAAGTGCATCCCAACGTGTCTGCCATCATTGGTATGGTCCTATGCCGAGGACGTATTGCTAAGTACCATCAGAAGAAGTGTTTACTTGTTGCTTATATGAGGGTGCTCCAAAAACAATGCCTTCTATTTTATTATGTTGGTCCATGATGTCAGAGACAGATGTTGGTGGTATGGCAGTAGAGTTTGAACCTTCCCACCAATCTTCCACTATATTTTGTTGCCATGTGACAGATGGCAGCAGAAACACAGTCTGACAGAATGGTGTCTGACATGGGAGCATAGATGAAGCAAAGATGTGTCACTGAATTCCTCCATGCAGAAGAAATGGCACCCAGTGACATTCATCGACGCTTGCGGAATGTTTCTGAAGATCAAACAGTAGATGTGAGCACAGTGAGGGGTGGGTGGTGTGTTTCAGCAGTGGCGACAGCAACAGTGGGTAATCTCCACTGGTGCAGATTGTTACAAGTGCTGCATGAAGGCTCTTGTTTATTGCTGCTGAAATTGCATAGCTAATAGTGGTGTCTATGTTGAAAAAGAGCGTTTTGCTGCTGAGAATTTGCTCTATTAAACAGTGCTATTTTACTGTTTTGTCTGCTCTAGTTTCCATGGAAATAAATAGGAGGCATTACTTTTGGAGCGAGCTATATACACAAAAAAACCTCACCCATGCTATAGTTCCTGCAAATTCATCCTCAGCATTTTCCTTCTCCTTTCCACTGGAGAAACTGTTCACCCAGTGCAAGAGATGTCTCCTCATTCCCTCTGTTCTGCAGAAATAGAACAAAAACAAAAGCACGATCTAAACACGAGTCTCCTGTGTACAGCTCTAACGAGCAGTGCTCCTTCTCAGTGCTGCTTGTCTCTCTCGGAGAAGTGCTGTCTCTGAGCGTTTGCTGTGAATGCTTTAGAGCAAAATAGGAAATACCTGAGCTTCAGTCTTATAATAGTTGTGTTTGAATCAAAGCAGACGATTCATAGCCAGGGTCAGGTTCACAAGAAAGGGCGAGGTTGCTAGAAAATCATAATGATAAAGCTTCCTGTTTTTAACGATATATTTCAACAACGATTATTGCTGCCTCAGAGAAGGAAAAGGATGCTTGTGAGCTGAAAAGTACCTCGCTATTTCTCCCTGCACTTTTGTGCCAAGAAGTTGCACAAACAAGTGATTTGTGTTGGAAATGAAACAAGGCTTCCTTCTGGAGTTTTCAGCTACAGCAAAATTACTACATGTTGCAAAATTAAGGCAGTGCTGATTTCTGCTGTTATGCAAACTTTAGGCTTTCTCCTTGGCAACGAGTGCCCTTAAAAGCTAGACATGCTCGATGTCTTATGACTTTATTTTCTTTATATACACAATGATTAAACAAAAGACAGCTGTTAATTTCAGGAAAAAAAAAAAAAGAGAAACAACACCCATGTAATGGATCTTTTGTGCTGCACCAAAATAACTCTCCTCCTCAGGCAGCCACAATTTAGCATAAGAGTTGTCTGCCCTTGGTACCACTTCCTATAACAAGATATTCTTATTTTCTAAATATGTAGAAGAGTAGTCTGTATGCTCATGTTACAGACATAAATTAAAAGCTCACTTACATTCTTCTTAAATGACAACTGACTGAAGGCATCATGTGCTTTCCATCTTCTGAGATAAGTACCCACTGTTAGCTTTTCACCAATGCCATAAAGTGCTTTTGCACTACAGATGACAGATTTTATTCTTGTTACCATTTGCCTGTCAATCATCTTGAGTCAGTGGGTCAGAAGGGTCTGAATCCCCTCCTTACCACCAGGGCTCACCTTAGCCCTGGGAGATGTGAGGCAGGAGGAGGTGAAGGCCTGTGTGATTTCCTGTTTATCCAGCTCAGAAACCATCTCACTTTGCTCCAGATTGGAAGAGAGAGCGAGAATGAGCTAGCACACAGCGGAGGATTGATGATCTTTAAGGTCTTTTCCAACCTGAGAAATTCTATGATTCTATAATTCTATGATTCTATGATTCTATAGTCAGCTCTCCTTCCACCTTGCCACGAGCCATCCCTGTGGCAAACATGTGGTTTGTTTCAGCACACTGAGGAGCACCTGAGATGAGCTGTCGTGCAAATCCTAGGCTTGTCCTCACTGGGGAATTGGTCTGCACTGCCTGCTTGAATTGGAAGGGTAGCCATAAAACTAAGCGGACAGCTGTTCTTGGAATAACACTTGTTTTAATTCACTCTGTCTTGGTTCTGACCAAGGCAATGTCTCAACGCAAGCTTTTAAATGCTGGCATGGGAAAAGGGTCCTGCCTGGAAATATTAGGTTCTCAGTGAAGAAAGTTTTTCTTCTGTGTGTTGAGTTGCTGCTGAGGAGAGCAACGCAGTAACACAGAATTCAGATAGCTAGAAAACACTGAGTCAGCCTCCTTGGTTTAATAATTTCACAGGCTCTTCATGAAAGTCTTCATGGATTTTGAGAGAGGTAAAATTTTGTATGCCAAGTGTTATAGAAGATTTAGTGATCTCTCTGTTTCAACAATGCTATAGAAGGTGATACTGTTCTTTGTTGGGTTCCTCTTGTACGTCTTTGTTCTCAGAGACTGAAGTTAAATTCAGTCACCTTGAATCTCATCTTTTGCAGTCTTTGTTGTACAAGTAAGTAGGTAATTTGATACGGAGGATGTACAAAGAAAGTAAATTGCATAGATCTTATGCTTTAAAAATGGGGGTACTTATGAAATGAAGTTTATGAGGTGATAAACTTCAGCAGTAAAACACAGATTCAGTTTCTCTCAAGGTCTTCCCAATGTTTGGTGATATGCAAATTTAGGGTCTTGACTTATCTTCTGAAAAGGGAACAGTGTGTTTCAGCTCACTAATACTAATATACTAATAATTATTTCTTTGAAACCATCAGCAAAATCTGTAATTGCAGCCCAGTTGTAAAGGCTCACATAGACCGTAACTCCAGTTCCAGCAGGCCTAGTGCAAGTGTGAAGAATGTAAGAGGAGCAGAAGAATCCAATTTTGTGATTGGATTTTGGAACACTGGAGGCTGGATGGGGCTCTGAGAACACTGACTGAGCTGTAAGTGTCCCTGTTCATTTCGGGAGATTTGGATTAGGTGACCTTGAAGAGACTCTTCCAACTCAGTCCATTCTATGATTCTATAATGGCTATTGCACACCTATGCTATTTCATCATCCCATATTTAACCTGATAGCCTGAAGGAACCTACAGGTTGCACACAAATTCTGAGATGTGAGAATAGCTGACCATTAGCATTCAAAAAACATGGCTTTTTGTATTGTTAGTTTTTGTTTGTTTGTTTGTTTATTCTGGTTTTATCTGGGCTACACTTAAGGGATTTTCCTTAAAAAGCACTGGCTTGTTTTTCAAGTATGTAGAGTGTACTATTTAAGTTTACAATGTGGTTGTCCTTCTGAATAATGGCTAGTTCTGCAAAATGGTAAAACTCTATTGATGAAGTAGAGAACAAGTAGAGAGATTTCTCAGTTGTTATGAAGAATGTGTTATGCATGAAGTGTAGCCTAGGTTTAACAACCAGAGCATGGTCAAACTGTAGCCAGTTGGAAAATACTTCAAACTTCTAAATGGAAGTCAAATGACCACCTAGCTAGCCCAGCTATTTCTGGTGATCTAAGCAAAACAAACAAAATGACTTTGGATTTTTTAATAGCAGTCCTCAAGGCAAAATAAAGAAGGAAGAAAGATGCTTGAGGAGTTCTTCACCAGGACTCCTGATGAACTGTTTCTTTGTGGGTAATATGGAAACTAGACTTATTTCAAAGTGAAGAAATAAAAAAGAACAGAACTGAATCACTGTGCTAAATGAATTCTGAAGTCCCAAAAGGGAAGTGCTTTCATCTGCCGCAGATTACAAGCTTAGTTTAGCAAGGGGAAGTTTACTTCAGAGGCCAGTAAGTAAAAGATTCATCCAAATCATTTGCTAGTGGGAAATAGGGAGGGAAACACTTTAAACTCCTGTCATTGACACCGGCTGCAAGCCCTCCCGAGGAGGCCTTCAGCAAATTTTCTTGTTCCAGACAGCATTGCCACTGCACAAATCCTAATCTTTGTACTATGAATTAGCAGATTTTCTGTTCTGGATTAAGCCAAGAATGCTTGTTTGACATATGGCAAACAGAACATCACTTGTAGTGATGCCCAGCTATAGCTTCTCATTCAGTGTTCATGCAAATCCTAAAGCTGCTAGAGCTGCATAATTATTTACTTCACAAGGAATTAGTGGCAATGGGCAATGGTATTCAAGCAATGACAACTTGTGTTTTCTACTCAGTGTTGATTTTGTTATGGATATTTGTCCTTTAAAAATATATCACGTGTAGAATATTTTGCAGAAAAAGCAAAACCCCACCACATATCATATTCTGAACTGATGAGCAAGGAGCACTTTGATTTCTCTTTTGCTTTTATCAGCCTTTGGGAATTGTTCTGTTTCACAGAGGCAAAGTTGAGCAACTGTTGCAGGGTATTCATACCCAGCAATCAACCTGTTTTTAAAATGCAAGCAAACATACTTCTCCCTCAGTGTCTGAATTCCAGATATCCAGCTGGGTGCTGCTGATAATGAAAAGGGACTGACAGCCATTTCCCAGCTGTCCCAGTGCAGAGCCGCCTTCTCTGCTTCATAAATAGAAAATCAGCCCTGAGGCTTGCTGGTATCCCAAAGGGGAGCAGGATGATCTGGCATTAAAGGTGATGTCTGGCCTGGGTGAAAGTAAATAGTGAGTTGTAAAGTAAAGGATCTTGCGCTTTTAAAGCTGAAAAAAAAAAGCAATCAGCCTTTTAATATTCAGTGAAGCATAGAGTAATCAGTCAGCTTCACATGCACTGCATCTCCTTTCATTTCACATCCTAGCTCAGTACACTCCTCTAAACCAAAATATTTACGTTAAGGCCGGATGCACAACAGAGCATGATGCAAGGATTATTTCTGTGATTTGGGAGCAACACCTCTTTGGCAGTACGAAGATTGGGCAGCAATACCTATTCCCTGGTGTCACTATGAACATGTCCAAATGTGGCTCTTTGTTCCATCAGCTGCTCTGTGTGTGACAGGGGCTGTTTCGGAAACAGCAGTTCCTTGTTTATGCTGCTCTGAGGATGAGTGAATGTATCCTTACTTAGCAAAATATCCTCACATTGCAAGTCCAGCCTTCCTGCCTTGAAGAGTTAATGTTGCTATGGCCTTTTCAAAAGCACTATCAATTTTGTGAAAGCCTTCTTTTCCCCTCCGTCTGGTGTCTGTGAGTAGTACGTGCCAGCTGTAATGTCCCTCAGTGCATTACAATTACAATTGTATGGAAAAAAGCCACAATTGCTTATGTATGCTCCTGCCTGCTTTTCTTGCTGTCAGCTGACTGCTGTTCTTTGAACACATGGTACAAACCCGTAGCCTTCCCTGCACGCAGCCATCCTTAGAAGGGAAGGAGATTGTAATGGGGGCTGCAGTGTTCCTCCTCAAACATACATGCAGCCTGTTTGCTGTGACTGATTTTCTACATTAATTACTTCTGATTTTTTAAGCTTCAGAAAAGGTGATTTTCTGTTTCCTTTTTCTACTCTGCGATACCAGTGGAGGAATTTTTGCAGTGACTGATTGCCTCTATTTCCTAATAATTACATGCTAATTACATTTTGCCAATGAATTTGCTAATAATTATCACAGTGCTATCTAAGAGAACACTTCCTCTCCATAAGGAGCATGTAAAGATATCTATAGTAACTGTGGAGTAACATCTGGTAAATAAAACTTTCTTCATGAAATGCCAGTACAAAATTTGAGTGACTCTCAATGGTCTGCATGTGACTTTTCAGGAGCTGACACACATAAAATTGGAAAAAATAGTTTGCAAAAGTAAATTTTCCATCCCTAGTTCCAGAAATGTTATCTCTCCTTGACAAAGGAAAAGACACTGTTTCCACTGTAGAGTTCACTGCTAAAGGTATTTTAACATTGTTCTGTTTTGGTACCTGCAATTGGCACATCCAGCTGAACTAAAGCCAACCAGTCCCATGCCATGGTATGCTCTGGAGGAGGCAGGTGATGCTGTGAGATGATCCCACAGGAGAACTGTGCAGCTGACAAGATTAGGGATAACTGAAGGAATTTGCCAGCGAACCTCCATATGGCCAGCTCTACTTCCAGTGCAGATCAATGGCTGCATCATAACCTGAGATCAGTCAGTATTACCTCTGCTCCTGCAGGTAGGTAGTGCACTGCCATCTCCAGTCTGCTTGAGCTTGGAGGGAGGGAGGAGGTTGAGTGAACACTCAGAGAAGGAGAGCCACCATCCATGCATCAGTTTTACCTATGTATGCACTTTCCTACATAGAAATGCTCTTTTGCAGTTTTCCCACCTTCCTCCATCACCATAATCACCGCAGACACCTGATTCCTGTGGTGCAGAGGGAAGAAATTGAATGTAGTGGCGTTGTTCCAAAAATGCTTGGGTTTCTGTAGTATTTTGTCATTACAACACAGCTCTGTCCAGTTAGGTCAGATTGCCCCGTTTGCACTAGCTCCACACATCTCTTTATTGTAGGCCATGTTTCTTTTCTTCTCACAAAAATAATTTTAAGCACTATGTAATCTTTGATGCAGAGTACCTCAACTTATCATGGATGTGCAAGACAACAGAGATCTGAATGTGTAGTGCATAAAATATCCAAAAGAATATTCTACCACTGCTGAAAAAGACATTTCAATACTTGGAGGCCAAGGTAAGCTTGCAGCTTTCATGTCATTTTCGGAACTTCACTGACCATAATCTCATTTCTCTTCCATTTCTTTCTCCTCTCTACCTGTGCAGCAGAGTTGAAGTGCTGATACTGACATGCACAGAGGAGCAGAGATTTATGCCACAGCCAATTTCCCAGTTTGCAATGGCAATGTGACTGGAGGAGCACAGACAAATGAAAGACAAAAGTACAAAGAGTAAAAAGTTCTGAGCCTTCTGTCCTGAGCCGAATTAATATATTTTTTATTGAACTTAATCCTGCTTCAAGCAATTAGGTGCAGATACAATCTGAGAGAGGAAGGAAGATTCAAAATTGTATAATTATAGAATCATTATGGCTGGAAAAGACCAGTAAGATCATCTAGTCCAACAGCCAACACATCACCACCATGAGAGGTCAAGAGTCCAGGTCTGTTAATATGAAACCCCACTGAGCTTCTAAGCTCTCTGCTACAGCCAGGAGCAGCATGGAGCCATTTGGACATGGGTCATTGAAATGACCTCCAAAAGGCCAAGTGAGGCACTCTGGGGTCTCAGGTTGAGTGTGATGCAAGGACCAGTGTTGAAAGACTAAAAGCTGTAGGACACTGGGATCACCATGTGTGCCCTTGAGAGAAGTCCCTCTTCTGCCACCCCAGCTTGCTCCCTCTTATTCCCTGTGTCTAGTATTGTGACATTGCACTAAAATGCAACACATCAGCATTTCAACATGGGAAGAGGGAAGGGTATCTACAAAACTCCCCAGTCTCTTAAATCCACCTGATTTATCAAAATCAAAAGTAATCCCTGGGAGACAAGGAAAAGCAAAGCTTTGGGTCTGCCCAAGGATGTTTTATGCAAACAGACTGAAGTTCACTCTGTGCATATAAAAGAAATCCATGGATGCCACAGTGTTAAACATCCGTGGTAACAGTGGGGATGAATTTGGTAAGTTGTTGTTCAAAGTTATCACTGCATATTTGTTGTCACCTACTGAAGCACAACATGATGGAGTAAGGGATAGAGTTTCTTTCATATCTGTCCAGAAGAAAAGTGACTGCTGCTAAACTCAATTCTACACAGAAATGAAAAGAAAATTATTCCAATTAGTAACATTACCTTTATATCTAAAGAACTAGTGACCTTGTTTCCATTTTTGAAATATGATATTAAATACTTCTATGTATCACTTTGAATTTTTGCAAAAATAATTTGCATAGAAACCTTTTACTTGCTTAGGAAAGTATTCCTTTCACATACCCTGTGTTTAAGCAGCAAGGCTAATAACCTTAAAGAAGAATATTTAATGTATTTCTTGAACAGATAAAGAGCCACATAATTGCATAATGCCCAGACAAATCTTTTGTGCTAATATAATCTTCCATTTTGAATGTTATTTTCAATATAAATATTTATTTATGCAAATAGTTGCAGTGTGGCTAATTCTGGAAGGACTCTTGTGGATTAAAACCTACTTGTGAAGTTGTTAATGAATAGCAAAATAAAAATGGTTTTAGACATTGCTTCAATTAATGAGGTGTCTTATTTTCAGAAGTACTCAAGTACCATATTGCTACATTCACCAAATGCATGGAGAGGGTAATAACAATGATTAATGAGCTGCAGCAAGTGACTTATTAGAAGGAACTACATATATCATTCTTGCTGACTCTGAAGGAGTACCTGCAAATATTTGTATGGGAGAGTGTGAGATCTTAAATCTGATATACAACTGAAAGAAGATTTTACCCACCAAAATGCATCACTGAATGTCTTCTGGATCACCACACCATTAAGAGTGAATTATGATAGTGGTGCCAGACTTGAAAAGAGGTAAAGGAATTATTAGTTTGGTACCAGTGTGGGAATAAGACTGTAGAAAAGAGACAAACATCCAGAAGTTTAATGACAGAAAAATATTTCCTAAAGGCACAAGCTATGAAAAGCCTCAAAGTGAAGAGGAATTCATGTCTTTGGGATACTGACACTGTGCAATACCACTAGTTGACATTAACTAGTCTGTGCTGGCAAGAGAATGGTGAATACCACCAAGTTTTGGTGATGTCTTCTAACTGTAATATTTTTTTAAGATTACAAAGCTTTAATGACATCCAAAGATCAAGGTTGCCTCATATAGGCATGCAGCTGCTCAATTTGACATAAAATCTCCCTGAAGAGGCTATACATTTTTTTCTGTCTCATTTCCGTGACTCCTTACTCTTCCTTGGAATACTAAGAATCTGGGAAGTGAAATCTGAGTGAAGCCTTTATAAAGCATCTGTGGCACCACACAGTACATACAGCAAGGAGATGTCATAGAGAAGCATGGTAATTCTTTTCTGTCAGCTATGCCTTCTGCAATAATGGAGAGAAATATGAATGTGCCTGGAGATGTGAGCACTCATTTACTCTTTCTTATTCTCTCCACTCTCCCTGAATTCTATATTTTTCCTACTCCCAGGTTTTCTAGATAAGAAGGAACATTCTCTCTCATTTTCCCTTGTGCAGCAAGTCATTCTGTTGCCTCAGATCTTCAGGTGGTTATGTCTTCATTCCTCTTGTTCACTTCCAGATGAGACAGAAGAGTAGGCAGGAATCTGTGGCTGACATACGGAGAAGAAAAGAAAAACACTTTTATTTCATGCCCATAATTTTTAAATAAGGCTCCAGCAAGACCCTTCTGCACAGGGACTGAGATTACCTCGTGCAAGACTAAGAGGGTAGGACATGGGGAATAATGAATCACAAACCACACAAGACTGTATTCATCAGACCAATTTGGGCTACTGGGAGGCCAGGGAGCATTATGGAAATGAGGCAAGCAAGTAAAATAACATCTAAAGACAAAGGAACAATGGGCTGCACTTTCCCAATCTCATCTGGGAGGCAAAACCGCACTGCAGAGGCTCCATAGCCATGGTCGCGCATCTCCCCTGCTCTGCTCTGGCCCAGCAGCTGTAGCTGCTCCACAGGAGATCTCCCCTCCAAGCAGTTGACCCGGAGAGGCAATTTCTGCATGACTGAGCCTGTAGACACTCTGCTGGGGCTCTGGCAGTTCTTTTTTGTGGCACTGTAACCCCAAATCAGTGTTGACTGCCAGGCTAAATAAGTTCAGTCTCCGCCTTGCCTGTTTACACTCTGTAGAAGTAGCAATTACCAGGGTTTTCCTTGGTCACTGTTTAACCAGCTGTACATATTTTGTATTGTAAAGTTTTCTACACATGCCATTCACTCCACTTCTTAGCTTTTTTTTTTTTTTTTCTTTCAGAATTCCTCTGGTTTGTTTGAGCTCTGTGCGAGGATATGTTACAAATTGCTATGCGCATAGGTTATAAATTGTGAGAGCATGGTGATGGAGAAGTGTTTCAATTCAATATTAAATGTATTGCACGGTGTCATAAAATATGTTCGTTGACAACTTTGTTGCTATCTTGAAGCTATAAACACCAGATGTGCTTCCCAGCTGGAAGGCAAAGGCAAAAAAGCTCTGTAAGGCCCTGCATGAACTGCATGGCTGAGACCCATGTAACCATGATGTCGGTCCCACTCACACCCTTTGTGCTTTGTGTTTTGGGGAAAGCAGACACACAGAGATGCTGCTTTCCTGCAGATCTCTCACTGGTAATAAGCAAAGGAGTGAGACTGCAGGGAACAAAAATGACCAGGGAGCCCCTCTCACAGCAGGCTCGCAGCCTTGGTACATACTGAGAGAAAGAAGGAGAGAAAATAAAGGGAAGATGACAAGGGTATAGCAACATGCTTGTGGGTGGTACAGTGTCTGTGGGTGGTGTAACTTTTGATCCCAAGCTAAATTTTTCTCATTAATTTGGTGTGACTGGATATTGTCAAAAAGCTTAACTTCACGATGACTGCTAGCAAAACATTCAGGAATGGGCTGAAAAAGAAGGAAATGCTTAACTTACAGCCCAGCACTACACAGCAGTGTGTGATTCAAGCATGGTATAAGCAACAGACAAAATATGACATGTGATAACTAGTAAAAAATAGTAAAAATGAACCCTAGAAAAAGAGATACAAAATACAAGATGGTTACCTGACATAGTTACAACTCATTCAGCCATGACTGGGTCCAAATGTCTTACAGTATCTGAAAGGCAGGCTTTAGTTAAAGGCAGCATATGCAGTTTCAGTTGTGCTCCTACACAGCTATACACTGAGATTGTCCACAGTGTTCCCCCTTGACTTGGTGGCGATCACAAAAGCAGAAACAGGAGCTAAGTGTAGCAATGCCTTGCTTCCCCTCTGGCAGTGAATACAAATTTTTGACTGAATGACAGTGAAGAGGAGCTCAGGGCAACCATACCTGCTGGTATCCTTTGACACTGAATGACTCAATCTGAATGATTCAATCTGAATGACTGACTGTACGGCATTTCATTCATAGCTTCCTGGTTTTTAGCTATGCAGGTACAAAACTTCAGTCTTGTCCCATGTTCTCCTGCATCCCAAATGTGTTAAGTACAGAAAACTGACTCTTGCTTAAAAAAAGATTGAGAGTTGTGGGGTGATGCTTCAGTTTTTCCTCAGCTCCTCAGGTAATTTTTTCATCTTGCTAACATCATTTTAAGTTTTTGCTATAAAATCTTGTAAGCAATCTCACTGAGATCTTCCAGGACTGGAAACTTGAATTTTGATCCATATGTGCTTTCAGTTTTGTGAGGTCAGCCTAGGTCTGCAGGGACTTTGTTCCTGTTGCTAAAAACGCTAGGAAAAAAAAAAGGCACAAACAGCTGCTGTAAGCAAGATCTCATCCGTGTTCCTACATAACCTAAACTAACGTAACTTGTCATAGGTTATGCTAATGACTATCCTCTTTGCTGCATAGCAGTTTATATAAAACCCTGAACTGAATATAAACCAAGTCAGATCCAATGACTGAGCAACCCAATAAATGCTAGCTTTGTGTTATTCAAGTAATTTCATGAATATTGGAACTAAATTTATTTCCTTTTGTCCCCTTGCTGATTTATGTCTAGTGACATT